ACTGTGCGTTTAACAATTCGAAGCATTTGTCCATTTCCTCTTGTGTTGAGCAAAGGACAAAGCAGTCGTCTACATACCTAGAGTAGCGGCCCGAGATCAGTCACCGGTGCTTCCACCTTAGACATAAATGCAATGGCAAGGCTTGGAGCCAATCGTTGTCCCATTGCCAACCCTCTTACTTGAGCGTAGTACTTTCCAGACCATCTGAAGATTGAGCAGCTCAAGCATTCTTTTAAGAGTGCCATCAGGTGCTCTATCCTGAAGCCATACATGTTTATTTCTCCTTCGCGTTGTGTAAGGAGTTCGAACATGGTTTGCATTGCGGAGTCATTCGACACGTTTGTGTAAAGGGCGGTAACGTCGAAGGACTCCATCACGCACGCGCTGTTGGGCTGCGCAGTACGTAGACGATCCAGAAACATCTGGGTATTCGTAAGATGGGCTGGAATGTGTTTCAACAACTGGTTAAATATTAGGGTTAAAAACCATGTTATCCTGTCCGTTGGCCCGTCTACACGGCTAGTGATAGGTATAAGCTTAAACAATGATGGATCAGTAGACACAAGATCATNACTAGGGTTAAAAACCATGTTATCCTGTCCGTTGGCCCGTCTACACGGCTAGTGATAGGTATAAGCTTAAACAATGATGGATCAGTAGACACAAGATCATCGCTGGATACTAACTTATGAGTTTTTATAAGCAACCACAAGACGGGGCATGTTGGTAAGGCAACTTTAAGTTGAGAGATAACTGATGGTTTCAAACCAGCAGCCCTTGCTATTTTGGCCCATTCGTGGTTTAGTTTTCGGTATTTACTTTTGAATTCCTCCTTAGATGATGGGCGATAAAGCGAAGCATCCTCAAGATGCTTTTCGTTATCTCCACATCTAACTGATGAGTAATTACGACAAACTCTCCACCCTTATCACTAACGGAAAGTCTTATGGTTTTCAACCTTATCAGCTCTCGTACCTCTCGCATACCACGTTTTTGCACTGGAGTGAGGTTTGAGCTGTATCTTTTCGCGCGATAGTGATTAAGGACTTTGAGAGTTTCATTCGCAAACATCCGAAATTTAACATCAAACTCATTATTGGGCTCTTGTTGTCCAAAGAACGTCGGGGGAAATGGTGCTATTGGTAGGGCCCCCACTTGATGTTGTTCGCACCTATTTAGCGCTTCATCTCTAGCTTTTTTGCGGAGTCTATCTTGAAGTTCATGTAAACCACATGCGACCCTACGCAAGGTTATCTTAGAAATGGGTTCAGATGGTGAGAAACTCGGCCCCAATTCTAATAACGAGCGCGCACCGTCAGGGAGAGTTATGCCTCCTAACACGGTTAGCCTTGAATTTTCTTGCACATTACCTATTCTAATGGGATCTTTTTGATGTTCTTCAGCAATATTTTTGTGCGCTATTGAAGCTGTGTTATGTGATTTACTCAAAAGGTCTTCGAATTTTCTTCGCAAAGCTACTTTAGCATTAGACCTAATAGAGTTGCAAATCAACACTGACCCGCCCACTATTCTCCTCCAGAGGCGGTCCTCCAAATATTGAGCACAAAAGTTTTCCTTCGTCTCGCACTTCTTCCACTTGGCGAACATCTAGTTTTGTCGGCTTCGTAGGCAGGTGCGTAGTATTCGCAATTCGACGTCCAACACTCGGTGACTGTCCTCTGGTAGACCGCATACGTTGTGTAGTCGTCTTCGTTTGATGAAGTTCGGAACGACTTGATGTTTTAGACAGCGGCGGAGAAAGTGTATTGACTGTCGAGCTAAGACGATCTTCGATGTCTCAGTGACAGCGCTTCTTTTACAAGTCGGAAGTATCTTGCTGGTACATCTTGCAGTAACCGCCACGACCGACTTTCTATTAACCTCGGCATTGATCAAGTAATTTTCTTCGTATTTTTGTTGAGTAAGTTATTAGCAAAAACTAATAAGTTATTAGCAAAAAAAAGTATAGAGATACAAATATGAGTAAAACGGAATACCACAATACCAAACATACAGAAAGGAAGCGCAGTGTTAAATGATAGAAATAGGCTAAATATACCATATAATGTGTGATTGGTCAGTGTTTCGTATTATACTTTTCCCGGGCCCATTAAGACACCTTCTATCCGGGGTTGGGTAAACCGCGCCAGATTTTTCTGATGCAAACTCTCCACATTCCAGAATGGTAGGCGACTGTCTGACTTCAAGAGTACCGGAAAAAACTGTAATAGAGCTAACTCAGGATTACAAAAAGAATTAACCCGGTCAGTACTCAATGATATTCATGAGGAACATCAAATCGTTGGGTAAGAGCAGAAATTACGCACAGATCCGAAGAGCTCACGAATGACTAATGTAAAACAATGAGATAGAATTTAAAAAAAGCGCATGAATCCGAGCATAGTCATGGAAACAACAACATAAACGAAAAACATAACCACATTTATCTAACAATGCATTTTAATATCAAGTGGCCAATTTCAGTGACACTAACTGACTCGGGTAAAGTCATTTGTTCCCACGTTGTGTTAAGTTGACCAATGGACTCTGGAGAAATTGGGAAACACCACATCATTTCCACGAGGTCCTTAATTTTCTAATCAACTCTAATGAAAAAGTGCTCAAAAGTAACTTCCCAAGTTGTGCTATGGCTATGTGAATGCTATGTATATATAGGTACATATATCATTGGTACTTTGTCAGCCATCCCAAAGTGGACATACAGAATAAAGCATAAGACGTCTGGCGTTGATCAAACTCTAAAGGATGCACCATGCGTTCGACCTCATCAAGCATCGTTGCCTGAGTAAATGTGGCATATTAAATAACTTGTGTGGGCCTACTGATTTGTCATTTCAGTGCTTTCGTCTTCATAGACAACTTTGATAGCACTTGGTCTTCTCTGGAGAGATGGTGGAAGGCTTGCTGAGTCCACGGCGGAGAATCGAACCAATTGGCGACGAGTATATGGTAGGGCACCTCTAAGTACTGCACAACAAGATCGCGATATCAGCGCATATCATTAAATTTGTAAGTGTATAAATTCTCCACGACGGTGGTTTTTTCTTCAATGTTGACAATTTTCTGACAAAAAGAACAGATGAGGCGTTGAGATCACCTAAGGATGACGCAGACAGACACGCAGACATTTCTCTATCTTTTCAAACCTTAAGCAATTTTTCTACTACGTTTCTTTAGTTCTAACCTTATTAAAACCGTAAAAGTGAAATGTTTAAATTTAAGTGCTGGCGTGGCAAGCAAAAACAATAGGGAAACCTTCGTGCTCTGGTGGACGATATCTCATTTATTCAATCGCTTCAATGTCGACGACACGAGTCTCGCCAAAAGAAAAAAACGAGAAGATACGTTGTTCTGGCCCCAAAACATAAGAACTGTGGAATAAGAAATCTTGCACGTAAGTGAGCAAAGTATATTCTGTAAATTCTAACGATTTTTATATAGCAATAAAAGCTAACTAAGAGATGAGACGTATTTGTTTGGAGGTGGAAGATGCAATTGTTATGGCGCATTTATGAGGCGAGACCAACGTTCTTTCTGAGTTCGTCGTCTGCACGGTCCCTTCTACATCCAACCTCTCGTTGTTCTAATTTCACCTCACAGCACTAGTAACAATTTAATATCGTGCAAAAGAACTAAACCAACTTTCTTACTGAAGAACTTCTGTGCTTCATAGCATGCAGATAAAGTTTGCCTCCATCCGAGAATCCCTGGTCGCACACTGAGCAGTGAAAGTGAAAACGTCTCTTCTTCAGTTTACAGAAAGGCCGTGAACACACCTAAAATGTCCTGTTGGATGAAAAAGTTAAATAGCAGACGAAAAAATTGATGCGTACTAGAAAATCCACTCAGGAATACTATATATACAACTATATAAAACCAATATGAAGCGAAATGGACAGAAGAACGTGACCAACGGACTTCCTTAATGAATTCGTGTCTCGTTAAAGGCTTGCAATTCTGAGGTGAATGTTCGGACAAGTGAACGAAGTGCTGCAATTCGAAGGACCACAAATGTGATAAAAGAATCAGCAAGCAGTATAAAGAACACTTCTTTGGAAAGGAAACATGCTACATTTAGGCGTTTAATCTGTTTTTAATCACATAATGATATCGATTGAGCTTAACTGATTTGAATATTTATGTTAAGACTTCACCAACCTTGCGACAATTCAGGCAATGATAGTGGGATTTCTTGCCATTGTACGGACATTCCACTGCGACTGTTGAATCCGAAGATTTGATTTTTTTGAAGCATTTAGAGTCTAAAATATGAAAAAAAGAAAAAAAAATATGACTATGAAAATTTAAAATATGACTTAGTGAAGAAAAAAACTTCGAAGAAAATTCTAGAACACTGTTAACACATACCGATATGGAAAAATTCAACATTTTTTGGAAGCGGAAGATCGGCGTGAAAGATGACAGCGTGATTCGAGATGATTAGTTCGTCATCAGAGCAGAAATAACAGCTGCAATCGGGAACTGTAGTGTTGCACATATCTGTTCTCTCGTGGTACGTTGGATGAAAGTGTGACCAGGAAAGTAATTACTCTAAATTAAAACTGCGCTGAAACAGAGGAGGATGATCTAGTGACGGGTTTTGGGAACATGTACGTCATTTATATTCTAGTAATCAACAATATTCCATGTTGATCCAACAGATATTTACTCACTTGGATACTTGGATGGCCCGTCACCACTGGTTGTGAGGACCCCAGCATAATTTCCATATTTTCGGAGTTTTCCTTGTTCTAGCCACTGTGATTCTCTGGAGATCCGAGGTCAACCTGGCCAAAGTCTGCTCCAGGTCGTCACCTTCACAGGCACTTGCAGCCCTTGTGGATTAGAAGGAGATGTGCCACTATGCGACCAACTTCACACCAGGACGGTGCTGGATTCTGGTTTACTGTTAGCTGGGCTTCCTAATGGAAACACTGGACTCTTTTTCATTTTGGAAGACCCTCCCGAGGAGACGAATTCTTCCGCTGTACAACGCAGCCCGACATCCAGCATCACCTCCCAGCCACAATAAGGCGGTACACCGTTGGGAGGAACATATATTTATTGAGTTTTAAGTGCTGTAATGAACAATGGTGCACCTTTAGCATAAATACACTATAACTCTAGAAATTTCATAATATGCAGGTGACTGCGATGGGCCGTTTCCAAGGTCAGTTTCACAGCTAAGAATCCAGCAAACGATGATTAAGGGCAAGGCATTGTGTCCCAACTGCCACTTTCTCCTCAAAAGTTTCAGTTTTAACGCACATAGTTTTTGTTATACAGTTATGAACGAAGATATGCGCGGAAAGTGCACAAAGTCCTGCTGTGTCTAGCTACCTAGACGGTCTATTCGCATGTGTTCCGACACCTATCAGTTCTGCGTCCGTTTCACTACCCTTCAACGATCATCCAAAGTCTCTGCATAGGCTTAGCTATAACTTGAGGACATGTACCTTCGAAATGCGCATTGAGATAAAGATTTGCAATCCGGAACGAATAACAGCGCACATATCGAAAACAATGCGCATAGTTGTGAAAGGGTTAAAACTGTAGCATTAGCCAAGGTTTGGCACTGAGACGGACATTGCAAACAAGGGAAAATATAACAAAAAACCCTCAGTACGCCATCTTCGAGTGACTATGTAGACCGCACTGTTGAGCTAACCAGTGCATATCTGTCCTCTACAGTAGACTTCTAATCACGCTCAAGGTGACGACATTTAAGAACCTCGTAAAGATTTCGACACACTCTTCGCGTAATAATTAACTCTTAATGATTTTCTGAATGATTAAGCTAACACGAGATTGGTATAAAAATGTTATTCGACTTACGCTTCGCCGTATCCTCCCTCAGAACCACTTAGATCCGAGTCGAAAGATTAAGAAATTAACTCGCAGACAGGACCAGGTCTGTGAAATGCTAAGCCAAGTAATTCCAAAGAAAAAGAAAGTCCTCCGATCCCAAGGAGATTTTTATCATTGCCTTAGTCATCTTACCATTGACCTTCGCTGAACATGAAGGACTGACATCGACGATATGCTTGCCTACATAAGATGATGCCTACTTCACAAAAACTGCACCAGAGAGAAACCGACACAGCTTCCGATGCCTTTTCGCTCTTTGTTTGAATATGGCGGATTTATCTGTGACAAGTGCATTCGGAAGGTTCCCATGAATGAGGACAGGCGGTTTATTGGAACTGTGCTTTCAATAGATGACTCTGTCTACTGCGGTCTATGTGATGTAATTTAGAGTTCCTCAAAGAACTAGTGATTTGGATCGTTAAATGGTTGGAATGAATTCATGATAATGTCAATGCCGACGAAAATATCAACTCCGGCTAGCCTTTTACTATCCAGTAAGAAAGCAAGAGATAAGGCTTGCAACGTTAGTGAATCGCTAAAGGATACGCCATGCATTCGACTTCATTCAGCATCGCTAGAGGTGAATGAGTGCATATCTGGCTTATACAATGACTCGCAGTAGCTTACCAATGTCTAAAGTCAGTGCTGCCATCTTACTGAACAAGTTCGTTATCAATCTAGCCAACACTGATGAAATGGATTGCTTGGCGAACCCAAGTCACGGAATCGAATCAAGGACCATGTGTGCATTATAGAGCACCTATAACTACTGCGCTACACGCGCTCCACTGTAGCATAATTAATATTGATACGTAGTTCACGAAAATGTTACTCAGTAGCACAAATGGCGTATTGTATCTAGCGCCATTAACTCCTTGTCCCAGCCAATAGTGTTTTACTCGCACGCTCCTATTAGCCTACAGTGGAAGTTTTCGTGATAATGTCTACTCATCATAGGCATAGATTGTCGTAATCCACAATGAACTAGGAATAAATGGCAGATATGGAATAAAATGTTTCATGAAACTTCACTACACATTTCAAAAAACAGTGTCGATCTCGCGACCGAGTTCTCGAACGACGTGACGCTAGAGTGTGTGGATTTACTAATGAAGCATAAATTGAAGTGCAATCAAGACTAAGCGAGTATAGAAGCGAAAACTCCATCACGTACCCGCGTACTGTACAATGGGCGTGGATTCGGTCGGAAAATCGGCATTCCTCAATGCCACATTTATCCTTCAGCGAAATAAAGCGAATTTGTGGGTAGGCCATAGTTTAAGGGAAACCTGAGAAAAAAGTTCATTTAGATATAAAAGTGCATGAAAGGGACCATTGAACCGTTCCAAAAGTGAAACGTATCAATGAAAAAGCAATAATCAATACGTAATCCTAGAAATCACGGTCAGCAAACGATACAAAGCTGGTGTACTCTAACTTGTAGACAGATTCGCTTTCAAATCTGAATCTTGGTGAAATCCAAGTGCAATTTCATCAGCAACACGAAAACAGCTGCCTCTACCGCGCCTATATTTTCGGGCCAGAAGGCATTTCCCATTTTAATCGCTATCTCTAGCTCTTACGTCTCTCAAAACGCAAAACCTTAAAATTTTTCATAGATGAAAAAGAATAGCGTGTCTCTACAGGATTTTCAAGAAAAAAGAAAAAGGATTTCACCTTTGAAGAAACAGTCTTGTATTCAAAGTTGACAAAATTGCTCACAAGCTCTAAGTAGCATAACAAAACAATACTACTTTGACAAACACATTAGTAAACGATCCTCTGGCTGGCACCCACAAATTTAAAAGTATTGTTACTGAGATGATCCTTTAATTGCGGTCGGCAACGACTTCGATTCCATGCCCTCCAATGTCCTCTCTGCTTGAGTTGCTGCGGAAACGACTGCAAGCTACATGACGTATTCATAAGATGGAAACCAGAGAAATATGCAATACGATGGACTGGAAAAGACAGACCTACAACGTAACGAAAGCAAAGTAAAGCAGCAGAGAAGACGCATAATGTCCTCGAAACGGTTCGCCTCGCTCTGCTTTCTATCCACTTATTTCTACGGTTTCACCATTTATGTGATGTGGCTTCACCATTAGACCACCTTCCAATGCTATTAAATGTAGGTCTACAGAGCATAAAGAGGTTACTGACTTGCACATAACCACCGTTGATCCGATATTCCGCAGAAGAAACGGGTGTGTTTTTTTTCAAATCTTACCGGTTGATTTATGAGTGTACAAACCGACTTCTCCAGTCGTTGACCAACGCTCATATTTTGCTAAGGCCATAATAAAATCCACAGCACCGATGATGCTATAAATGCTGCTAGGTAACGGGCGAAACACCTCAGAGAAATTCTTTGCCTCCATAGACGTTTTGCGACATCACTGAGCTGTCATCTCTATACACATTTGGTCAAATTCACCAAGAAAAATAATCTTAAAAAAAAGAAGAGCCTGAACGAACACGAAAATCAGCGAAAGTAGATGAAATACGTGTGAACGTGTAGCTTTTAAAAAAATTGAAGGTTTTGCCTAACCGATGTCGCCGTTGTCCCAAAATTCTACACGAGATCAGACTATCGCCTCCTTCGTGCAAAATTTCATTTCTCGTGGTTAGGAGAAAAAGCCGCTAAATTCAAAAAACCAAGTCCCAAAACGACTATAAACTGAGGTTTATTCAGCTCATTACTCAGTTGTTGGGAAGATGCCATTCTTGATAACATCGACGAAACATTACACTCGCCTCATTCAACATCATCGCTTTAGCGCTATGAAAGTTGAGAGTTCGAAAATCAACAAGAGGCGACTGCTTCCAGAAACATTCGAGCTGATAGGTCAGAGTGGAAACGCAGGAAGCAAGAGCAACCAACCGCTAACTTTCTTCTGAACTTGCAAAACAAGGCAGCCGCCAACGCTTCTCGTTCAGAGCGAGACTTGCCACCTTCTAACTGGATTGATACCAGGACGACGGTGATGCCACACATTAGTTACTTTTATCTGGGCTTCCGGATGAAAACTTATGACTCCTTCTCCACATAGGAGACCCTGTCCGGAGGACGATCTCCAGCAGTACATCGTAGTTTTCCACTAAGGGCACCTCTCAGTCATCGTCTGGCGATAAACCTGTGAGAGGATTAGTAATTAACGGACTTACTCTTTAAAAGACAGACTTCCATTCAACTATGGTATTACTAATCAACTGATATTATGCTACGAGCTTTCCCTGATGAACTTACACGAACTCGCCGACTTGTACTTTTGTCCTTCGATATATGGCCATTTCTATCGTTTGATATATGGTCGACTATGAGCGATGCCTCCCGTGGTCTCTTATGCGAACTCACAATGAGAATCGTCTGAAGTCCTTTATTCCCATATTTTTGTCAGGGGTTACCAGTGGGTAACTTTTCGCGTTCTGACGGAGCACGTGTACATGGTTCCTTTCTTTTTCAGTTGAAGGCGTTTCCTGATTGCCTTCTATGTACTTTCAAAAGACTCGATAGCAGCTTTCCGGTTGCATCAACATGTAGCATATAATCTACGTGCAAGTAGGTATATCCGTGAATGTTACAGAGATGGAAACGATTTTAGGAATTAGGAATGAGCAGCTTCGCGAATGCCACAAAATTCGAAGCAGAGCCGTTGCCATGAACGATGATTGCGCAAAAAGAGAATGAAAATGATGTCGCGGATTGATTGCACCACTAATGGAGACCGGCAATTCAAGTTTCTAAGTATCCAACTATGAAACGTTACTTAAAAAGGGTCGGCATGGAGAAGCAGGTAGCAGTGATTGGAATCCTAGCGAATATTCTGAGACGTCAGGCACTAAGTAAAAGCACGATGACGGGGATGGTTTTGAAGTAGAAGTCACCAATCCTTGCATGGGAAACGGAAGCTTTAATGGGTAAAACTTTCGAAACATTTCAAATAAATTCGAAAATGCCAAACCGGCCCGTGGAGTGCCTTTGATTGTGCGTGAACTCGTTCACACCACACGCTGATTTTTTGACGTGAACCAAGCACATTTGACATCAAAGCTGAGATTTAATCGCTTCCCACCGGTTGTCACGCCACCTGACGTTATAAACGGAAGCACACAGCGTGCCGGTTACTGATCATGCAGCTTTCCTGGTCTACGAAATGTGGGTCCCCAAAGCCCTGATATCAGCCTGGTCGAAGCCTTCCTTAGGGCGTCGTCACCTTGAGCAATCACCAGGCCTTTTGGATCAGAGGGGATTTCTCCATTTTGCGACAAATTTGATACCAGGAGGGTAATCATACCTGGTACTGATTTTTCTAGGATGGACTTCCAGATCGAAACGTCGGATTCCATCTCATCTTGGGGATCTCGCTGTGGGAGAGACCTCCGCTGTATAGTTCAGTGCTGCACCCGCGAATACCTCCCAGCTACGATGAGGCGGTAAACCTTTAAGGAGAATGTACAACAAGCGACAACTTGAGGTACCGTTAAAAAACTGCTCGTGGATATTTTCATCATCACAGAGCAGTCGCAATACACTGGAAACAGTGTGAAGAACGACTTTTCGAATAGAAATTTAAGACCACACAAACCCTTTTATTTACATCTATTTCAACATACCTCTAAAGAGGTGTAATATTTTTGCATATGCGTAAAAATTCTCAAAGATTTCTCTAATGTGGGGCTTATCTAGCCTATTAATCGCAATGCCAGACAGTAGACTCTCAATTGCCGTATATGGCGTTAAAGCAGAGACCACAAGCGACCAGGTACAATACTTGTTCAGGGTACACGTGATATGGTTTTCGCACGTCTACATGGTCAGGTTGAGATACCTTTTAGGAGATAACCTGTATCACCTGTAGTCCTGTTGATCGTCGAGTGACTCGAGCGTGCTCCAGTAAATCTTCCATTTTTCCCGATTGCGCGCAAGAGCGGTCCAGTGGGTTTTGCTCGCTCTAGAGACTTATGGAGCTCCATATCTTTCTTCTAGGCATTTCGTGAAAAACTCTAACCATCGAGTCGGTGGACTTCCTGCAATGTGTTTAACAACTCGAGGAATCCAGTCACTAACGGCTCATGTCCATCGGTTGTCATTCATATGCATTACGTGTCCGGCCCACCTTATTTTCGACTGTTTGGTGTACAGAACGGCGTCTTTGATTTTCGATCGTTGACGTAGTTCGGAGTTTTGGATCCTTTCCCTTACTTGTGTGAAACGGGATAATCCTGGCATCGTCCTTTCTACTGCGCGTTCAATAACGCTGAATGACGTTTCGTCCTACTTATGCAGTGACCAGGTTTCTGACGCATACGTTAAGGCAGGAAGTACCGTTGAGTTGAAAAGGTGGGCATGGAGTCGGGTGTTCATTCTTCTATTCACTGCATCCCAGGTGCTCTTGAAAGCTCCTCAAGCCATTCCTCTTTGTTCAACTCTAGAGCTATGTCGCTCATCATGTTGATTTCCCGACGTAGATGGAGGTAGCTGGAACATTCTGAGGTTTTAGTTCCGTTGAGCGTGAATGGGGCATGGGTAACTAATATGTTCCTCATGAACATTGTTTTTAACAATACATAGTGAAATCAAATGCATGACGCATTTCTCAGGGATTGATCAACACCAAGAGCTTTGTCCTTTATTTCCCGAACTATCTGAAGGTCGAGCAATTTATGCACTCCTTTAAGTGAGAGTGAGTTGACCCGGTTCGAAGACGTCGTATCTTTCGATTGCGCGTTCGATAACGCTGAGTGACCTTTCATCCTATTTACGCAGCAACCAGGTTCCTGACGCATACGTTAAGGCAGGGAGTACCGTTAAGTCGAAAAGGTGGGCACGGAGTCGGGTGAAGGAGATAACACTCAAGGATGTACATCTATGCACATAGATTTGCTCGGTTTTGCTCGCTCTAGAGACTTATGGAGTCCTTTATTATATCCTGCATGTCGATCCAGCCGAAAAGCTGCTGTCAAGTTTTTTGAAGGTACCTCAGAACACGAGAAGTTACCCCTAGCAACAACCGATAAAAATATGAGAATAAAGGACTTCAGATGATTCTCTTTGTGAGTGCGAATTGAACCACTGGAGGCGTCGACTTATAGTCGACTAATTCACTAGGTGATATGAAATGAAGGTTATTTCTTTTAAGCGCCCCACCCCACATACTGTGGCGATCCTTGCAATTTTTCCATTCGAATCTTTTCCTCGCACCAACCATCCACGAGAATCTTGTGGTCTTTTCGAGAGTGCATTCAGCTGGTGCTTCATGACTTTTTCTTCGTTATGAACGCCGTTGCACGCTGGTTGATTCGACTTGGAGGAAGTGAGATGGTCCTAGACAAGTCCGACACCAATTTCCTGGCCTCGGACAGACAGAAGACATAGTGAGTCGCGAACGGGATAGAAGTAGCGCCTGTGTTGCCTGCGCTTTCCTCGTCATAAGAGACATCGCTACCACTCTGCAACCTGCCATCTGACAGTTTTTTATGCAGGACAATGATAACACACCTCAAAAGCTCTAATTATATTTCAATCCAGTAACGAAAATCAATTCAAACATGATTTATTGAAGTCGAACATTTATTGGAATGTTTTCAAAATATTATAATTATTACATACCAAACATGTGCAATTCAACGGGCTTTAGGATGCATAAGACATAAAAATAAAGACTTCCAAAGTCGACACACACTAGGACCAAGAGTGACACTGGCGCAACTTTCATTGCAAACAATTATTTGTAGAATTACTAATCCCAATTTAGTAGAACGTTTGTCTAATCATTAGTTAAATCTAACATGCAGTATGTTGCTGTATTTATCTGGCGCTATGACGAGGAGAAGTTGATGCAACATAATCGCCGAAAGTCCCCAGATGCGGAATTCGCGTGGTAAGAACTGGCCCTCATTGTGGGAATGCACCTGCAACAAAACGTGTAATGATTTCAGTAAGGAGTCCTTTTCAATTCTGTCCATCGTGGATATGATGCGCTATGCAACGAGAAGCGGAAAATAATCCACATTTACTACCTCAGCAAATTTACAAAGGAGGAAGAATTTGACGCGACGATTTTTTTTGCCAATGTTAAGACCAACAGGTAGATATCTGTACCTTCGTGTCTAGTACCATTTAAGAAAGTTTATAGCAATAATAATCTTATTCACTCGGATACAAACTGCATTACATCAGCAATACTCTTGCCTAAATAACTTAGTAGCCCGTCCTTACAAATCGTATATCTCTATTTATGATTTCCAATTCAGTGTTATTCCAATGGCCTGACATGTTTTTTCTCTTCAATCCTGACATTCCCATGAGCGCCTTAGCAATGCCTCCATATTTATCGATTCTTATGAACAACAGGTAGTTTAGGACTATGTTCTTCAAGGATAGTGGTATGTTTACTTCTACTTCGGATTTCTGATATTCTTATCTCTGGTGACCAAATCATAGTAATGAACGTTTGCTGCACAACGGACTTCGATACCCACGAATACCGTTTTTCTAGGACGAGGCGACAAACAATTACTGCATGCAGTAACATCCCATTGTTTCAGAAATGCATGAACGAACCACAAACTCCTTGCTGAAAAACACGGGTAATGTGTACTCAGAAGTTTCACTCGAAAAGCGTGTGTATCCGTAGTTGCGGCACAATTCGTCCAAAGGAACTGAGAACAGTGTTTGGACCTGAAATAGCCCGTGTGACAAAAAAAAAATCAAAACCTGAGTAAATATATGGAAGCCTTCACAACCTGATTACGGGCTCTGTAAAAGAAAATCTTGCTTAATTTCCAATTAATCGAACTTATTAATACCGTCACGAGTTCAAAACATGACGTTTAGCCCACAAATACTAGATTTCTCAAATGCAAACAAGTACAGAACGTAAAGAAATACGTACCTTTTACCAGAAATGTTTCGTTTCATCTAATTGTATTTAACATGTACACAGATGACTGAAAAGTAACTCCCTAAGAGGAGTTCCTAAAATGAGAACTCCCTACCACTCCCTACCGCCCCTCTCATAATTTATTTCATATATTTCATAACCATGAATTTTGTATGAACACAGCATGACAGCAAACGTTTATCACGACATTTTACCTAAAAATTGAAATGGGCACCAGCAAACGCCATTGGCTTCTCTAGTTGCTCGAAACCCACATTAACTGATTTCACCGGGAATCCAAAGCCGTATGTTTGACACAGTATACTTGCTCCTTTAACCAACTCCAAAGCGAAATGTTGCTGATGTTAAGCCAGTGTATTTGGCTGCTGAATCTGTCAGAGCATGATGATCCATCCATCTGACTATCATGTCATTCACGAACTACAATAGCAAAATGTGCATGACATTTGTTGATCGTCTTTGCGTCTACTTCAGCATGTCTCTCTTTGATGGTCCTCCACTATTTTCTCACTTAAACAACGGATCTTCAAACTTCGTTAACGCACCAGTAGCTGGGCACTTTTTCTTATGAGTAAGACGTCCAGCCAACATTGATTTAATTCCCATATATAAAGGAACAAAAAATCTGAGAACATTATTACAACATGTAAATAGATTGCAATTTAAAATATGTATATATATATATATATATATATATATATACATATTTTAAATTGCAATCTATTTACATGTTGTAATAATGTTCTCAGATTTTTTGTTCCTTTATATATGNGAGAGAGTGATGGAGAGGTGATCGGGCCATCGAACCACCTTGTTTCCTGATAGAGACTACATCATTGACCAACGAGCTGCCTTCATCACCCCATATATATATATATATATATATATATATATATGGGGTGATGAAGGCAGCTCGTTGGTCAATGATGTAGTCTCTATCAGGAAACAAGGTGGTTCGATGGCCCGATCACCTCTCCATCACTCTCTCCAATCCACGTGTTGCCTTACCTCGGCTATTTCTAAGATCGCGAGAAGAATCAACTCGACCGTGAGATTCATAAAAAGAAGGTGAAATCCTCAAGCACAGCCAGAAACAACATGCGAAACGTTCGACGAACATTTCTGAACGAAAAATGCGAGGAAAGCGAATCGAATGCAAGAAGTGTTGCGAAGCGCACAGTAGATGCGATGATGAGTTATGTAAAATAAAATAAGAACGTTACAATTCAAAAGACCGACATTGACGAAACGGCTCTGAAGAAGGCGAAGTCAGAAATCGAATCGAACCATAGCAAAAATAACAACTATAAAAACACAAACCTCGCGTCAGATCAACAAGAGCCCTTCGTAGGAGTTACATACATTGAGGAACGTTTACATGCATACATATATATACGTCTATACACTGTATATATATATAGTGTATATACGTATATATGTATGTATGTAAACGCTGAGGGACAAAAAGGATAAAGCTCTCGTCGCTGATCAGTCCGAAGGCTGCGCCATGCATTCGACTTCACTAAGCATTGTTGTAGGTGATTGAATGTATATTTGGCCCTTACAGACCTGGTATCAATTTGCCGACATCGGATGGATGAAGAGTTTGGTGAGCCTGGGCGCGGGGATCAATCAAATGTGTTTCGCACAGCATCTATGACCGCTGGGCTACATGCGCCCCATATATATATATATATATATATATATATATACAATGCGTTTATTAGAACAATAAAGTCCTTCATGCATGCATAGTCAGGGTCTACACACTCCTACGTCAAACAATCAGCTCCTGAATTGGTTCAGTTTTATTCAACTGCCGACCGACTCGTCTGTTTTGAATAAAAAATTGAACCTTATATCAGTGAATTTATGGGTAAGTGCTACAATGCTCAACGCTATTCAGTTTATTATGATCTCAAGGACTTCAGTTTTTCTACGGAATGTTCGCTCACTTTTCTCACGAAAAAAAAATTACCTCATTTTTGTTCACATTCTCGGACTTCAGTGCCTGATCTGGAATAGAGCCCACGATAGGAACCACCGTTGACGTGAGGTTACGAGTTAAGACGGGTGTCAGACAGCCCCACACATCTACTGAAGATGGATCGATACCGATTTCCTCGTGTGTTTCTCGTAGAGCCGCCTAAGGAGAACAGATTGAATGCAAAAGTATGTTTGTAGATTGAAAGGAAATTCAGCAAACATTCGCCAAAATCTTTTTCTACAAATGATACAATGGAATAACAATGAAATTACAGTTTTATTATATCTAAAAAACTAATTGGTGACCCATCATTATTCATTCCTCATGGCGTATTCCATCGTGGCCGGAATGCATTCATTCCTGGGTGCCGAACCACGATGTGCATCAATTTACAACGTTCTGAATGATTGTGGTTGCGGAAGGCGGAGTGCAGTGGTTAGTAATTCCATTGATCAGAAAGCAAATGCGCTAGTTCGATCGCCTCCCCAACGCTCTCCTGCAATCCACGTGGAAATGTCCTTTAACTTGGATATCTCCAAGATTGCAAGGAGAGTTGTCTCGGCCAACATTCTACGACATTCATAAAGAAGACCAAATCCTCAAGCAGCACCCGTAACAACATGTGTTCGAAGACCATAGTGGACAATGGAAAGGACAAGGAAAATGAATCGAATGGAAGAACTGCTGGGTTCCGCACAGTAGATGTGATAAAGGGGCATGTAAAATATTAATGAAAAATGGACGATCGCAGTTAAAGTACATCAAATTTCTTGAGGAAAACCTAAAGAATACTGGTTTCCACTATTAAAGCTTCAAGTAGAATTTTTCCGAAGTGGGTCCTCAACGCTCTCGTCCAATCCACGTGGAAACGCCTTAGCCTGGTTATGCCTCAGATTGCAAGGAGAATCGACTCAACTAGCATTCATAATACCAATCATAAAGAAGATGAGATCCTCAAGCAGCAGCCGAAACAACACACGAAATGTTGGAAGACCTCTGTGAACGATGAATGCCAAGAAAACCATTGGAATGGAAGAAGTGCTGGGATCAGCACAGTAGATATGATGATGAATCATGTAAACGCAAATGAATGCAAGTAAGCTGTCCATTAGGGGCATCACTGCTCATCCAGTTACAGAGACATTTCTTGAGATTTCTTCAACCACATATATTATAAATCTGTACTTGTATCTGCATCTTGCGTACAGTTTTAAAAACTGAATGCCATGGTCCCATCTTTTATATAGGATATATTTACGGAATACTACTCTCCTTCTAAACGATATGAAGAATTTGTCGACAGAGACAATCCCATCCGGACAGTAGTGCAAATTCCTATTGATAAGCTCGCCAAGCACGGGTCACATCGCCGACGAAATGAAGGTAAGCCTTGAGTTTCTCATCTTTATACGACGTGTGCTCAAATAACACCTCTTAAATAGATCGGACTCGGAACCGACGTTCGAACCGTTCCAATTTAACTATTACCATATAAACATTTTTTGTTTTTTCATACCTGTCCTCTTTTCCAACTTGTCTTCCTAGTTGAAAAAAAAACAACTCTCGGGGTTGATCAACCTCTGAAAGGTGCGCCACGCATTCAACTTCATTAAACATCGTTGCAGATGACTGAATGCATATTTATTCTTTACAGTGCCTCGCGTTGGTCTAGTGATGTATGGAGCCAGTATGCCATTCCCTCAGACAAGTCTGATACCAATTTTCCGACCGTGAAGGGATGGAAGGTTTGGTGGGCGTGGGGATCGATCCCATGCGTATTGAAGGGCATCTCCGACCACTGCACTACATGCGCCCTTTCCCTTCCGTCTTTCTAGTTAGTTTTCATTAATCAGATCTCATAAATCTTTCATCTTTCATAATTCATAAAAATCCAATGCTTCTGTGTCACCTAAGCACATGCTGAGCACACGAGTGAACACTGCCATGAGCATGAGCACGAACTGAATGTCAATTCCACTTTTTGTCACTGAATTGATGTCCCCGTGACTAAGGAGCTGCGATGTTTGATAACTAACCACTGAATCCATCACCAGCACATTCTGCTTCATATTTAGATTCCCTTACTTCACACTTTTCATCGACATGTGCTAGAAATTTCGTCTCAGCGTCCATAGTGTTCTTAGCTTCTTCATGATCGCTGCTTTACTTTACACCAACGATGAAGTTGCATTCGCTTTCAAACAGAATTCAAGTGAATACAATAAAGATTTTTGAGCAGCAACTGAATGTCCTTGTCTTCGCAATCGCTATAACCATACATATTTCCCATTTTAGATGGATAGATGTAGAAAAATATTAGTACACTCAAATATATTCTACATACTTACTAGGATATTTGGACGACCAATGTTCACTGGTTGTGTGGACCCCAGCATAGTTTTGACCTTTTCGACGTTTTGCTGGTTTACCCGCTATGGTTTCCTGGAGTCCCAAGGCCAGCCTAGTCAAAATCTGCCCCAAGTTCTCACCACCACAAGCAGTCGCCGCCCTTGTGGATCAAAAGGAGATTTGCAATCAGGCGACTAGATTGGTACCAGGACGGTGACGAATCCTGTCATTGGTTTACTTTCAGCTGGGCTTCCCGATGGAAACGTCGGACCACTTCTCAGCATGAGATACCCTGCCGGGGGGATGAACCCCGCGCTGTACATCGCAGTCCGATACCCAGAAACACCTCCCAGCCTCGATGAAGCGATGAACCATTGCAAGGGAACTCCGCATTTCCTGTACAAAACCAAATTATAGACCGGAAAATATAACACAGAATGCGGAATCATTTGGCAGGAATGGGATATCATAGAAGAACTACTCACATGCTGTTCAGTGTCGGCAGCGAAGAATTTTCTGCGGTGGCCGCTGCACGAAATTAGGAGTTATCACGAATTTGTCAGACCAAAATTGTTAACCAAAAGTCTCACAATCATAGATACAGGATTTATCTTCATGGGATAGAATTACCGTAGCGAAATGAAAATCTAAGGAAGAAACCTCACCTCTTCAATAGTCTCACCATCCTCCATTTTACCTCCTGGGAAGCACACCTCGCCTCGATGACTCTTCAAATGAATCGACCTCTTCGTGAACAATACTGATGAAGTAGAATTGATATCTAATAAAGGAATCAAGACCTGAAAAACGACGTCAGGAACAGCAAAAATATCGATTTGACTAGTTCAAGCGGACTATTGTACTGGCATGACGATTGAGGAACTTTATACCCACCGACATTGTTGGCGTTGACGTTGCTAATCGAGGATGCATCGGAATCGTGTTCTTTTCAGCCAGATTCTAATTCCAAGTTTTAACAAAGTAACGGTATCAATCCAAGACTTTTTATGTCCAATTCATACGTCAACGAACGAAAAACTATTTATAAGGAGCATGTTGCTCAAGACACTAAGAATCTCACAAATACGCTAAGCGATAGACGATATTACGGTACTAAATACTGCTATGTACCTTTATAAACTGTTGTTTGCAAGCGGTTCCAAACATTCTGAGTGACTGATGCGTTATCATGGAAGTAGACATGCTGGAAAAAACAACGGTTCCACCAACGATGTCTCACAATGTACGATTGACAACTACGAACGTAATAAACTGGTCAGGGCCTTCACTATAAATGTGGAATGACTAAACATATTACACAGTAACCGGTTCAATTCTGATAATATTTAATAAAAATTATATCAGTAACACCAAACAACTGTGAAAGCTAAAAAGGATAAAGTGCTCGGCATTGACTAGCCCCTGAGGGATGCGCCATGCATTCGACTTCACTGGGCATAATTGGAGGTGACTGAATCCATACCTTACCTACTGGGTACTTCGACGGTCCGTCTTCACGAGCTGTGCGGAGCCAGCACATATGCCATTCGTTCTTTTCTCTCGCAATCGTAGTCCATGGTGGTGGTCTTGTTCGAGCATGGTAGCGCTTGCGAGTCTCATACCTGTACTGTAAAACATCTGTAAAACAACTGCAGCTGCGGGTACAGCTGATTAACTTTGTTTACTAACACGTCCGTCCAACGTGTAGGTGGTCATCCTACTGGACGTTTGCTTTCTCTTGGAATCCACTCTATTGTTCTTTTCGTCCATCTGTCGCCTGTCCTTCTCATTATGTGATTGGCCCATCTATGTTTCGCTGTCGATGTACATTCTCCTGGATCTCGAAGATGTGACAGATTTCGAAGGTCAGAGCTTCGCATTACGGCTAGGTATTGAGAACTCAAGCGCTCTGTGAGTAGTTCGAAGCTTTCTTGACGTGGTTGAAGTATCAACCCTTTCTCTGCAGCATAACAGAGCGCTAGGACGACAGCAGAATCGAAGAGATGAACGCGGATTTTCGGGTCCTTTAGTTGGTCGGTGGCTTCCTTGAGAGGCCAGAATGCGGCCCAAGCTGCTCTCCTTCTATCTAGTTCCTCCCTCATGTTGTTTTCCACGTTCATTGATCACCCAAGGTATACGCACGAGGTGGACCCTGCAATGAGAGAGCCATCCAATTCAATTTTTTCGCATTCGCACCACGGGTTTTTCACGAAATGGGTTTTCTTTCGATTTATGCGAAGTCCGATCTTTTTCCAGCTTCGTTGAGCTCGTTCATCATCATCTCTGCTTCGCTAGTGCTCTTTTAAAAGATGACAATGTCGTAGGCAAAACGAAGGCTTGATATCAATGTTCCATCAATACGTATGCCTTTCTCATCCCAATCGAGTGACTTCATTATCCACTGCACTGAACAGCTTTGGCGATATTGTGACGCCCTGTCGAACCCCTTTTCCTATGGGTATGGTAAGAGGTCAATTGAAAGGCTGTATTTTCGCAGCGCAATTTCTATACCACTCAGAGAGAGTTCTCATGTAGGACGGGTCCACTCCTTGGTCGACGAGCACTAATGGGATTACCTTCGTTTCGGGACTGCTAAACGCTTTTTCGTAGTGGTCAAAGATAAGGACTAGAGGCAGTTGGTATTCTCGACAAACTTCAGTGAACCTGGAAACAGTTTGAATGTGGTCCATGCAGTAAGATCCTTGTGGAAATCCTGCTTGCTCCACTGGTGGTGCCTCATCCAATGTCCTTGATATGCGTGATAGGATAATCTTTGCGAAGAGTTTGTAGAGAACACTCAACAAGCATATGGGACGATAGTTACGAAGATCCCTTCAGTCTCCTTTCTAGAGCAGGTTTGAGGGTAGGTAGTCGTCATATGGTTTGCGAGAAGCACATGTAAATTGCGACTTAGCTCTAAGGAAGTCTGCAGTGATATCATCTGGTCCTCGAGCTGCGCCTGTTTTCATGCTTTCTATCGCAATTCGAACCTCCGACGGGAGAATTCCAGGTGGTTTTCTCCGGCGGCGATATTAGAGCCCGGGATGGGGCTCTAATACGGAACCGAAAAGGTTGGTGCAAAACGTTTCCGCTATTAATTCCATACCACGGCGTGAAATTTTGACGATCCCATCTTCGTTCATCAGGGCCGACAGTGTAACATTATAATCACGCAAGTCCCGACGGCATTTTTTCGGACTGCTTCTTTTCTCTGCTGCTTCCAGTATTTTCTTCTGCCTGTACCGTTGTAAATCTTCCTGCAAAGCTCTTCTGCAGCTGGCATTTATTACTAGCCATTTGAAAATTGCTGCAGTAGGATCAAGCTTCAGTTTCCTTCTCTTTTCGAGCAATTCCTTAGTAGTGTTGGAGATGCTATTCATCTTCTTGTTTGGTAAACTGAAGCAAATTCGGGACAGTCTTTCAATCCTCCGACAAGCAGCTCTAGTCTTCGGTTGCGTCTTCTTTGAGCTGCTTACTTTTTTGGATAGGATTTTGCTTACCTTTGGACACGATTTCGCTCAGAATGTTCTCGTCATATACAGCTGAACATTTTTCACGTGGTTGATGACATGCATTCTTTTCCAGCTTGCGGCTCTCTCGGATCTTCGCACGAAGGCGGTAATCGGGTCCAGTACAGAATGACGGGACTACTGATGTGTCAAGTAGGCACCATCTTCTGTTTCTTAGAATATGGCCGTTCTCTGCATGAGTCGTGCCGTTAGAAGACTCCCATGTCTAGCGATGACTTTCTTCCGGGAAAAGTTTCCATGGAAGAGACGTGCTACTGACAGGAGTCCTGCAAGACGGTTTCGATTCTCATTTCTTTCTCCTAATCCAAAATTTCCAATCCTATTCTGGCGTTGAAGACTCCGACAACAAATTTGTAGTCCGCCGCATCATTGCGGATGACTTCCTCCAACTAATAGTAGAACGCATTTAATTCGTCCTCATCAGCTACGTCAGTCGGTGAGTAGCTATTGATGATTATGATAAACTTATGACGCATCAGTTGAAGACGGCAGACGGCCATGCGTGGGGAGAGGATCTCGTTTAGATGGACATTGGACGGGTAGACAAAAAAGGCTACGCCACAGACATTTCGTGACGGGAAGTCTCCTCCGCGGATGAAAAGAGTCCGTTGTTCAGCTGGCGTATGTCGGTCTTCCTCATTTTTGTTACTTGAAGTGTGATCACATAAAATTTCATGTGATTTGTGGCTTAGAAGGGCGTGAAGATCGGTGTCTGTGGACACCATTCTGGCATTATACGTGCAATGTAAAAAATAATCTCCATGGGGTGTCGTGGGTGTGCTCGTCAGATCTGGTTCCAGTGACGTCCTGCGTAACCCGACATTTTGTGGCTTTCCACTGGTCGTCTCACCGCCTGGAGTCATAGACGGGACCACCCAGTATGCGGAGTACTGAGGCTAGCTTATTGCTGGTCGTGCAACTTGGTCCTCTCTGGAGTCCTGACTTAGCCTTGCAAAGGCGTATCCAGGTCTTCACCACGATGTGGATCAGAGGGAGGTGTGTTTTCGGCGGCGAATCCTTCGTTCGGTCTTCCTACTAGTTGATTGGGGGAGATATTAAAACCGAAATCAGAAACGAAAGTAGGAATGTAAAAGTAATCGACCCCTCAAGGAGAATGTAGAAGCCGAATGCATATCTGGCCCTTAAAATGAGCGGTGGTCTACCAATGTATCGAGCCAGTGGTGCTATTCTCTCAGACAAGTTTGGCACCAGCGTGCCAACGCCATAGGGGATGGAAGGCTTGGTGAGCCTGGGACATGGAGAACAATTCCATATGTATTACAGAGCGCCCCCGATCTCTACGCTACAAGCGCTCAAACAACTGTGTCTATCATAAAAACAGTCTATCCACCAGTCGTTCCTACTCTGATTCCCATAAGGATGTTTCAAAGTTGTGTCTTCAGTAATATTTCTATACAGGGTTTGCGCAGATAATAACATGAACTTAACTTTGAAGCACGAATGCTAAGAAGACGTTATCGCCAATATTTATCTCACAATATGAAGTCCAGCATATAAAAACCACGTACAAATCTATACAATTGTGAACATACAGGTGCTAACTTCACTTGCTTTGGAAAAAGCACATTATACTTGGCATTCATGAAAGCGAATACTGAAGAGAAGGAACTCACTAAGGAATGCACTTGACTCAGTTTAAAAAAAAAAACAGATTAACAATGAAAATTCACAAAGAAAAATATCTAGCCCTCGTTAGGCCAAAGAATAATTTTGTAGTGGTTACAATGAATGACTTCGCTATCACAAGGGTAGCGGTAACAGTCAGTAACATCCATGTTATACATAAAGCTTCGTCACTTATATACCAAAGTGAAAACTACTGCTAGCAAGTTTCCCACATCGCCTAAACAAAAACACCTATACCGCAAACATAACCATGTGCATTGATTTCAGTGCGTATGATGCGAAGATAAATTGCTCTCAGATTTAGAGTAATGCCCATTATTAGTTAAAATAAGGATCATTGGGAATTTTGGGAGATCCCTGTGAACAATATGTTAGTCTTCTTATGCTTTTACGGCAAGATGCTGACCTAAGTGTCCACGTAACCCACTCCCTCAGGTTTTTCCTGCCGAAGCTAATATCTCGAATACCAATGAAGTCAAACAAGGTTCATTACGTCCAACAGGACATGAGGATGCTTGTGCTGGATCTTTTGAATTGATAGAACAAAGTCTCTTTTTCTACCGGACTTATCTCTAGGTTGAGCTACTCTAATTGCCCAAAAATTATCGCTAATTGTTTGAAAAAACAAACATCGCCCTTTATGTGGTAATCGAGCATTTTCTTCTTTCCTAATTAATAACATGAAGCTAATGTACAGCTTGGATTTAAACCACTGTTACACGCTTTTATTTAAAATCATTCTAAATATGCTATTTCTTGTCATAACCCACTGTTTTTTGCCCTATACTCTATTTCCACTCGACCGGAAAACACATAAAGGAGCCTGCTATCCCTTAAAATATGAACTGGAGATGGATTCACGAAAAAAACGAGTTTACCAATATTGCATCAAATTTTCGATCACTTCAGTAATTCAACATGTTAACTAAAATTTTTTCAAATATTACTAGTTTTTGGGATGAATGGTTGGGGCAGCGCAGTGTTTAGTGATGCAGTCCACCAGTAAGCAAGGTTCAACTCCCTACCCAACACCTTCCTCCAGTTCACGTGGGAAAGCCGCCCTAACTCGGCTGTCTACAAGACTGTAAGCAGAACTGACTCGATGAACGTTCTATAACATTCCTAAAAAAGGCGAAATCCTTAGGCGGCATCCGAAGCCGCATGCGAAATGTTCGAAGATCTTTATGGACGGTGAATGGGAGAAAGACGAGACGAATACAAGAAGTTCAGGAACCTGCACAGTAGATTTTATGATGGGTCATGTAATAGTAGTAATAATAATATATGCGTTATAGAATTTCTACGTGCTTTCTAGTACAGCAGAAAAATCCGTGTTACTCTAAACCAGCTGTGCGTTTCGAAGGAATGGTATTTGGAAATGGTAGGATAAACTGTCATAATCCGATGCAAAGGCTGTCATAGCTCTCAGGAAACTTTCCAACAGTTATTTCCACTTTATATCTTTTTGAGACTTAGAAACCACAAGTTACAATAAAGAGCATGCGTACAGCACAATGTAATAATAAGATACAAACAAGAACTCGAATCACTAACACAATGATTTCTACCCGTCAAGTGTGGTAAGAACCACAGATAACTATGTTGAGCAAAAAGAACAAATATGTTCAGAAAATCTGGCATTTCAGACATACCTAATTGGAAGAAACCACCACGCCAATCTTGGAGGACTCCGAGAGTCATCGATCACAACGTACGTCACGAGTAGCACAACCAGTAACCACGGCAGCACCAAACTAAACGACCAAGTCCTTAGTAAGGGTAGTAACACTTTAGAGAATTAGCACAAAAGCCAAGCCATGCAGTGTCACAGACGTGCAATCTTTCAGTATTCACAGTGTTTCTACCCTGGAAAGCATAAATCAGCAGCACATGAAGCATGACATTTACTGATTCCAACTCATGTTCATCCAGCGTTTCATTTTTAGACCAGGACATTCCAACTTTACAGATTGAACAAGCCCACTACACTACAATTCACGTATTTCACCAAAACAGTGCAAGTTCGACAATTCTTTAACGAGAAATTCCTGATTTTCTAGAGCCCACAAAATATATTTCCTCCCAATTATTTGTCGAGCCTATTACCATAGACACCAAAAAGATTGAACCCAGGTTCCATCCAAAAAGTCACGATGGTGTTCCGCAATGCACCACTGGTATCTGTGGCTAACCGGCTCCCGCTAAAAATTTTGTTTAAACGTTGCCTTCAGTATGCATAACTTTCGATTTACTACATATTATGTTTTCACGTCAGGGTGTTATGTGAAAAACAACCACAATAATGATATCTGCAAAACTCAGATCCCTGACTAGCCCCAACTCAGCTCTGCGTTTTGCAAATATCTCAGTATCATTGTGGTTATACATCACACAATACTCTCCAATGAAAGAAAACACTACAGCCTTAGCTTGACTGGGTTCAATGCTGACTTGTGCCCCCTAAATTATGTCCGTTGACAGGGGATTTCTGATGGCACGGCTTGAGTAGAAAACTGGCTGAGAGGAAAGCAAAGCAAGGGCTTCGATGGTGCAGTGGGTAACGTGTAAGCCAACGGAAAGGTTAACCGCAGTTCGAATCTGACCTGGGGTCTGACTTTTGCAAGTATCCCAGCATCACTGTTTTCGTTTCAGTTTTTAGAAATTTTAATTCTGTACAAATCTAAAAATGACCGAATATCTCACAAAAATTTCAAGTATGATTGGGATAACAGAGCAATATCTTTCACATAGGTCTACCAATTACTACTATAATGACCGAGAAATTATCATTCGTCATCGGAAAAAAAGCATAGGTCCTTATGCGTTATGCTAAACTAAATGAACAAAACAGAAAGTTCGTAATATTCTTCCAATATTAAGCAGATCTGGACATGATATGATTTCACAAAATTGATGTTGATTTGGATTATCAATTGGTCATAACGTTATAGTGAACACTACAGAATAATGACGCTACATCACCTGGTTCCATGTCCATCATAGAGTCAGATAATGTAACACCCTAAGACATTTTGATGTGTACTTAATATGATATGTACGCAAAGCTAGAGACCTAACATGCCTTTGTAGTGTGGAGCTTACACGAGGTTGATAACGATGTTTATTCGGCTAACGTTTCATCGGTTTCGTCTTCATCACAGCCGATAATCCGAGTCGACGATCCACAGTTGCTCGTGTTCTCGTAGTGGCGTCACCGAAACTCGGACCATTGCCTTTGATGAAGAAGAAATCGTCGAAACGTTAGCCAAATAAACATCTTTATCAACTTCTTCTAAGCTTAATAATATGCACAAATGTTGATTTTTTTACGCTTAACGCGGTTAAATGACGGTCGGGTACAAAGTTATTTTTTTACAAGATAGTTATTTGATTAAAGCTCCACGCCGCAAATTCTACAATGCATTAGAAAAGCAACTTAGTGGGTCATGAAATCAGATAGAATAAATATGTTATTAACAACACTTATATTCCAGGTAGTGCGGTTATGATAAAGACTATACGACAGTGGAACTCAAGCGAGAAAAAAAAAGTATAGGTACGTGAGCGACAACGGGTGAGCAAAGGTGGGAAACACAAAGTGTGAATAAACGAGCACCCGTGAACAACATCAGAGAGAAGGAACATCGTCATCACGTGTATCTGAAAAATCTGAAACACTGCCAGAATATTAGGAAGACATTTAGTAAGCAAACTTAGCCTCTTCGGTGTTTTATGAAACATATCCACAGTATACATTCAAATTATATGGTTTCAAATATCTCCCTATGTGATGGGAATGCAAAAGAATGTGAAAATGATGGCACATGATCCATATGCCTATTTTAATAATGTTGTAACAATTTAATATGGAATTTATTCTGCATCTAGTGAAAAACAAAAGATATTTTACCGCAATCCTTTCATCCTCATTATCTTCCATGGCTTACAAAAACTTAAAGAGTTTCTAAGGATTCATTGTCTAAACAAGGAAACACCTAGGAAAAACAATTTTCACACTTGAATAACCTGAGTTTGAAAGCATTGGCTTGTTTTTGACGGGAAAGAAAGCTCCGCTCACGGGTCGAGTCTATAGTCTCCGCCAGACGACTACACTCATCCACTCGTCTAGCCTTAACACACTGTTAAATGTGAGGAAAACTACTTTTAATAAAGTACAACGTTACTAAAACATGATAGTATTTTACCATTCCATAAAATGCCGTCGTTAACAAACGTTGCTCTTGTTCATGCATAGTGTTCGTCTGCTCTGCTTGTTCTTCCAGTTGTTTGATTCGCTTATCTTTCTGTTCAATCTCACGACGCAATGAATCAAACTCATGTCGACTCAAGCCACCTTCAACTGCACACTGAGCAGCTCGCTCCTAAAAAAGGGCCATCAATCCACATTGGAATAACAAACAATTTTTAAATGAACAAAAAAATCATATAGATGAACAACATATACCATTTCGGATACCATAAATCTACACTATCCAGTTTCTGAAGCATTGCAAAGATAAAATTCGTTGATATTGTTATTTCCTTAAGGACATCTGGCTTGGACGGCTATGGCGCAGCGGTTGGAGGCGCCCTGCAATACACATCGGACCGATTCCCGCGTCCTTGGCCCACCCGGTCTTCCACCCCTCGAGGATCGGCAAATTGGTACCAGACTTGTCTGGGAGGATAGCAACACTGGCTCGATGCATTGGTTGGCCACCGTGAGTCACTGTAAAGGCCATATATGCATTTAGGCACCTCCAACGATGCTTAACAAAGTCGAATACGTGCGCATCTCTAAGGAATTGACCAACGCCGGAAGCTTTTTTCAGCTTTATGTCTAGCTCAACAAAGGCAGTCGCTTAGTAACCGTAAGTATAAGAGAGAAGACATATTGTATCTATCGAACACGCATTAGAAGGATTATCAGTCAGAACAAAAAAAAAACTATATCGAGGAAATATCCGAAATATAACAAGAAAAAGTTACCTGATCAATGATTATTTGCCGAGCCTTCTCCAAATATGACCTCTTTGATTCTTGTTCTTCTTTTAGTTCTACCTCCACTTCTCTCAGTTTTCCTAGAAACATAAAAACAAAAGAAATGAAAATCATGGAATGATAACAAAAGTAGGAAAACAACTTGGTAAGTTGAACGTAACGTAGAAACTGCAGCGTAAACAAGGATCTTCAACTTACCCTCAGCTAACAACTGCGCGTCCAAAGCTTCTGCAGCACGTTTCTCAGACATTTCAGCTCTTTGCCTCAACTGATCGATTTCGATGGACATCTTCTCCGACTGTAACAACATAAAAGAAACAAGAATTGAAAAAATAAAATGAAACGAAGAAGGAAAACAAACAGGTAACATTAGGGGACCGTACCCTCAATTTCACCTCTGTAACATCTCCTGATGAAGAAACTGCTGCATGCTCAACTACACGTTCCAATTCTTCAACTTTTCCCTGAATCACAATAAACCGGTCAATGTAATGAATATTTTTAATTAAGCAACGCACGACTACCTCTAACTCAGCCTTCCTCCTACTAACGAGACGAATTTCACTTTCTAGCTCAAGACATCGACCTTTAACAATATCCATTTCGCCTTTAACCACTTCCAACTCTTCCATTTCTTTTACCCTTTCGCGCAAACGAGAGTTTTCCAGTTCAAGAATGCGAATACGATCTCTGAAATCACTAGTCTGTCAATCATGACGCTGCTTTCAGGAATAGCTAAGTTAATGGGAATATAGCAGAAGAGGACTACTCATAACGATTCTCACTCCATTGTTCTGACATTTAAGGAGACGTCGTCACAGTTTGATTCCAGTATCGATGCGTGCAAACTACGGGCGCTGTCCACGTGTGACACTGAAATACACCGACACTTTGGCTAGCGGAGATCTGTGTGCTCCTGGATAACGAAAGTATGGAAAACAGAATCATATTCACAGCAAATGAGGTTTCCTCTCATATCTAGCACTATATCTATCAAGAAGAGTAGTTCTATCCTACTCCTGCGCACAACGAACTACTACTTCATTCAAATGCTGGCAAAAGTTGAATAACCAAGCTGAGTACACATCAAGAAAAACGGAAAACCTCGACAATATGCATCAACAAATCATAAGGATATTTAGCACCAGTACAAATTTCTTCATGTTTCTTCGTTCCATTTTTTAAAAGAACCCTGCGGTGTTATACGAATTGCAATACTGGAAACATTTAAAAGGTAGGATAGGAAGTATGACGGAATATCCCGATTTCGCACATGACGTAAGATTCTCAAAAGTAACAAAAACCAATTAAGCCCAAAACCTCACACTCATAAGCAATTTTATTCTCCATTAGTATCTTCTCTTGAACGAGGTCTACGACACGTACTTCGGCAGCAGCTAAGCGATCTCTTGTAGTAGATAATTCGTGCTCCAACTAAAAAACAAGAGGTAATTGGTGGAAAAACAAGACTTATGGATAATAAAAAGTGAAACCTTGTCGACTTTAATGGTAAGCTCGTCGTTTTCTCGAGTCTTTTCTTCTGACAAAGCTTTGTAGGAACCCATTTGCGTACGTAAAGTCTAAAATAAGAATGTAACCCTATACAAACGCCATTAGAAGAATACAAGCGACAAAATACCTTATTTTTACGCTGCTCGTCCTCAAGCAGCATACCATGCTCAACATAAGACTTCACTTTCTCTCTGAGAACCAACAGCTAAAACGCATTCCGTTATAGGAGTTTTGAAAACAAAACAACTAATGGAGTTCTACCAAACATTACATACACAACTTCAAAGCCTAGTTAATCTGAAAACAAAATATTCATCTTCAAGGCGTTAAAAGGTCTCAGTTGCGTAAGAAACTACCTACTTCTGCACGATCATTGCTACTGTCCTTCGCCTTGTTCTTCAGCTGCTCGTATGCTTGCTGCAGTTTAGCATGATCGGCTTCTTTTACACGCAACTCTTCAACTTCATCTCGCAATCGACGAAATTCGTCTTCGAATGGTCTCATTTGACCAATCTGCAGTGCAAACATGCCAGCGTCAAACGTGAGAAGCAAGGCAGAATCGACGAACGAAAAATTCTAACCTTTGACTTCAGATCCTCATTTTCTTGGGTCATAGAATCTATCTTTCCTTTTAGCAGTTCCATCTCCGTTTCTGTCTCAATGATTTGCCCTTCCAGGCGCGATTTCTTCTCCTTATACAAAATGAAAATTTAACGGGTCAGAAAGGAAAACGTACCAGAAAAGAAGAGTAAAACGTACTCTAAGATCAATGATATCTTGTTCAAATTCTTCGACACTTTTTCCTTTTGTGAGTTCATAAAGTTGCTGTCGGACTTTTTCTAACTGTAATTCCAAGCTATCGCGATCCTGCCGAAGCTCCAAATTCTAGAAAATGAAATATAAATGGTTAATACACAGAGCTTAGAGACATGTTTTTGAGAAAGCAGCTGTGATACTCTGATATCTTTTCAACAAGCCTAACAGAGCTTAAAAACGGTGAAAGACAAAGGCAAAGCGACGACATCAAGCTTTTACCAGAAGTGTAGAATGCACTGAGAAAAAATTCAAGGGGTGGCATAATTGATATGAAGCAAATAAAGAATGCAAATAAATGACGATGAACGGTAACACAGCACTTCTCTGACGGCCGTCGATGGTACTGGTAAACGATCAATAGCGCACTGAACAAGCGCTACTTCCGTCATTGGTCACACCCATCGAGGAAATTGGTGGAGAAGCTCTCTGTTATTCGGAGGATGATAAACAGATGCACCACGGCAGGAAGGACGGCGCAAAAATATGCTTATAAACTCCAACTGGGAAAAACAGGTTTTTTCTGCATATTTTCGAGAGATCGGAAAGAAGTTTAAAGCAATGCAAAATATGACCAGCACAGAAAAAGGCATATATATATATACATATATGACTACAATGATGATGAAATATTTGCCAAGCTCCAGACTGCAAATATCTGCGGCGGGGATCCAACCTCGTTATTACCCCTTTTCCGAGGGCTAACGTGTTCACTACCACACCATGATAGTCCATCGTATCACCTTTCTCTCAGCCGTGTTTTAAAGGCGCTATCAGCAATTACCTATCAACGGAATTAATCCAAGGAGCACAAATCGGCATTGATCCCACCTAAGGTGAAGCTGAGAACACGGGTGAGAGAAAGGCGGAACGAACGACACGCGCGATGTGGTGATGAACACGGAAAGGGTAACACCGACGTTCGATCCCCGCTACAGACACCGCGGTCCGGATTTTTGCAAACATCTCAGCATATTGCGGTTGAATTTCATATCACACCCTGCCATGAGAAAAGTATACGCAGTAAATCAAAAGTGATTACACTATATGTATATATATTATCTCTCATCACGAGGATGGTACTGGTTAGATTCCGATCCGGCCCAACCAAGCCTCTCATCCCTCTGGGGTTGGTTAGTTGGTACCGGACTTGTCTGGGAAAAACACTTTTTGCAATCTAATTGGTAACACTACAGCCCGGCTATCTCAGGACTGCACAAAGAATTGCTCGACCAGCATTCTACAACATTCAAAATGAAATGGAAATCGTCAAGCAGCAACCGAAGCAACACGTAAAAGATGGAAGATCTTCGTGGATAATGGATGCAAGAAAATAAATCGAATATGAGAAGTGCTGGGATCCGCACAGTAGGCGTGAAGACGGGTCATATAAAATAAAATAAAAAACATATATATGTCAGTGTATATATATATATATATATACGTAAGATATTTGCATGTATATGTGCATATAACGCATAAACACGTATGCTCATACTATATGTATAAATATATATATATACAGATATGCTAATGTATACATGTAGATAAATGTCATATATGTAGGTACATTCCTTTTATTTAATTTATTCAGTGAAAAATCTTACCCGAAATCTTCTAAGCTTCATTTCATTTTGTGAAAAAATACATATAAGGGCAGAAACCCTAATGGTATGGGAGGAAACAGGAATAAATGGAATGACAGAAATATACCAACCCATCCGATTTATTAAGCACCAATAAAAGTAAAGAAATAGTACTAATCCTAAGATAAAGTTATAGACGGTGTCTTACTTCTTTAGCCAGAGAATCTAATCTGCTTCCAGGTTCTTCGCCACAACTTCCACTTGTTCCAGGATTGTTTTTCTAAACACAATGATAACCTTACCACAATGGCTAGACCAGCAAAACTCCGAAAAAAAAAATGGAAATTGCGCTGGGGCCTACACAACCAATGAAAACCGGCCATCCGTGTCCAAGCAAGTAAGTAAGCGATAATGATAGCAAATGCAGTAACGTATAGGATGAAATGCATACGCAACCGAAATTAAATAAGTTGTCAAAAGTAAACAAATACCGAATCTGGCAGAACTTCCACTGGTGAAATGAGCGTTTCGGTTTCATTGGAGTTGTCAATTATATATTTTATTGCGGTCACGACACCTCCTTGAACTTCAGGATCCAGAGCAGTTATTCCATCAACAAATTCTAGAAATCAAATTGTTTCACAAGTAAACTTTCTATGGAGAAAGACAAAATGATGGAAGAACTTAATGAAAAAATGCAGAAAAACGGATAACACGAAATGCAATGGAATTCATGCTGAGACAGTTGCGCTTTGATGATAAACCAATTACTCCCCTTTTTCAGGCAATTAACACTTAGAGACCGATGCATGACTGTTTACTATATTCTTGACTTTTCAGTGCACCCTTTGTGAGTCGATATGACTCACATAGGTCACTACGTCCTCCCTATGCGTGTGACGGAAAAAAAGCACCCTCTATGGCAACTACGTTGCTACCGGTATTTCGTAGACGGCATCACAACATACATGAACTATATTTCGGCAGTTTCGTATATCCCCATTCTATTAGAAAACTGTGGGCCACTAAAGTGATTAAAAATGAAATAATAATTAATCATAGAAAATAGCAAAACGCTACGAGTTTGAATATTCTGCCTCTTGTCCTAACCTTTACTGACTAAGCGTTTGACAGCGACAAAACAAAAGCAACCTGTTAGAGCCTGTCGACCATGGAAAGAAGACTTCTTACATAAGAAATCCAATTGATAGCTATCGAAACTGGACCACGAAAATATAGCTTTTTCATCGACCCGTTACCACACTCAGAGGAAAAGCGATTCAACAAGGCGACACTATTTCAGTAAAGCCGTTTACAGTCCCACTGCAGTAGATAACAAAGTTGCCCGAAAAGTCGACAACTGCATATGCAATGATTAGAAGTCCTTGTCAAACCTTTGTTTTGTTGATGATATCGTCGTCATCTCGAGGAGCACCAATGAAACAGGGAAGGTGCTCAATGAACTCACTGAAGCGGGAAAAAAGATTGCTTGTCAAGGAAGCCACCGACCAGCTAACGGATCCAAAACTTTGTGTTCTATTTTTCGATTCATCAGTCCTCCCAGCACTTTGTTATGCAGCAGATAGGTGAGCTAATTCTTCAACCATATCAAGAAGTCGCATATGGACTCTAGTCAGCCGGTCTACCTCAGTGGAAAGCGCGTAAAAAACGGCTCTGAACAAGACAAAACTGCCGAAACGTCAGCTACTGTTGAGTTGTATGTCTTTTGTATCCAAGCAAAACGTGTACCTTGCGGTTGATGAAAAAGAAAACGACACATTTGTAATCCAGTGCCGAGGTTAATAGAAAGTCGATCCTGGGAATTATGTGGGAACATATTCACAATGCTTGGTCTTTCTACAGAGCGATATTTTCGTTAAAGTACAGCGCCTCTGTTTCTCGTTAAGCGGAAACAGGCTCTCGAATGGCTGCTTTTTAATCAGGCACTTCTCGCCTGCGAAAAGAATTCGTCCAAAAACAGATTTTGTAAATCTATTACGTAAACAAAATAGATTTACAGGTGCAAAGTCCTTCATAATGAACCGCATAAGCTAATATATAATATAAGCAATCGAACAAAAAATTATATGACAAAATAAAAGGCCGCCAAGGAAATGAGCGTAAAGCATCTCACGACGTCATTACGTCGACCCAAGAATGCTTGGAAATCCACTCATATTGATCTCTATGTGTTAATTAACCATGCATGCAAAGGTTTGTAGGATTTATCTACCTTCAATGACATTCGAAGATTCCAAGTGATTCCCTTGTTCTTCTAATTATTAAGCTATTACTTGGTTAATTAATTGGACTAATTTGACTAAAACTAGTTACTCGACCCTAGCTCCAGCGCTGAACTAAAGATATCGAAAGTAAAAATAAGTTTACTTATTGTTCCTAATCCAAATTAGGAATGAACAGCCTACTTACGCTTTTGGGTTCTACCCAAAAATGCGGCTCCCACAACCAGAACGGCCATTTTGAGCAATTCCTTCGTAGATCCTGTTTCAGCTAGAAAAATACCAAAATTACAAAGATGAATAGAAAAAGTAAATATAGACACATGGCATCATCCTTATCAATCTGAAATAAGTATTTCTCTAACATATGACAAGTAACTACATAAGAACTCTAGTTGCTGTGGAAAGTGCGGTCTGAAAACAAAGTTCATTCAACGAATCCTGATCATCATCATGAGAAAAGGAATCAGAAAAGGTAACCGCGTAGCTGTGGATAACGAAGTAGCCCGATTGGGACAAAAAAAAAGAACAAGAGTTGATAGCATATTCCTAACAAAACGATGTTTTGCTGACAATGTCGTCTTCTTGAGATGTATCAGCAAAGCAGAAATGATGTTCGAAGAGTCAAATGAAGCCAAATAAACGATAAGGTAACATGTAAATTAGAAAAAAGGCTGAGATCATGAGAAGCGGTGAGTAAATCGAACAGAACAGTTCTCGGTTTACAGCGACAACATAAGTGTAAACAAGAGGTTCAGTGAATATGGAGTACAATGTGAAAGAAGGATGACGCAGGAGAGCAGCATGACCTACGACTGGGTGCTTTAGATATGCTAGTGACCAAGGTGTATCAAAGTGACACCCTGCTAACCTCATAACCTAATGGTTCTATCAACTCTTATGCATGCAGCTGGAGCGTAGGTTAACACATTAACCTCATGGAGAATCGTATGATCCAACTAACTAGACGCACTAAAAATATCACTGTGGGGATTCAGAGCAAAAATGGTCTTTTCAAAATTCAAAGAATATGATTCGAAAAAAAAACATAATTACTGATTAATGTTTCGGTCAAGTAATCAGAAGAATCTAAGAAAAATAGACAACAGGAACAATCGAATGGACTTCAAAAAGACGGAAGAACCATCGCTCAGGAAGTGGCTGGAGGTGCTTCTGATTTTGAAAATGAGCTTTCGAAATGTACGAGTAAATTAATACGGGAAAGCTAAAAAATAGAGTTTGATTCCATAATTCATGTTTAACAACATACCAAACTCCATCTCATCGATATCCAGTAGACATGTTCCTTTCACTATTCTATGTACGTGCTCTTCATAGTACTCTGCTAAGCTACGCGTAAGCTGAATCGAGGAAAGATAAATAATAATTCCTCACGGGAGGATTAAGAAAGCAACGAACCCAATCCTTTTGATGAAAAAATAATAGAAAGAAAAAACAACTAAGATATATCTTCTTTTCAATCCTTGGTGGGGGCGCGTGTGGCGTAGTGGTCGGAGGCGGCCTGCAACACACACGTGGAATCGATCTCCGCGCCCATGGCCCACCAAGCCTTCCATCCCTCCGGGATCGGGATTGGTACCAGACTTGTCTGGGAGGATAGCAGCACAGTCTCGATACATCGGTAGGTCATCGCGATTCATTATAAGGGCCAGATATGCATTCAATCACTTCCGACGATGCAAAATGAAGTCGAATGCATGGGGCATCCCTCAGGGATTGATGAACGCCGAAAGCTTTATAGTCTTTATCCTTCAATCTTTGAAAGCGACAGTACAGTTTTGTCTAGTAATCGCAATCATACCACTATTAGATTGGGTTAACCACAAGCAGCCCTACAGTTCACGTGTTCTTGAACATCGAACTGTTATGTAGAGCATGAAGTTCAATTCTTAAGCAAAACCACCAGTCCTGTGAACTACCTCACATCAAAAACCTGAAGCTTAACTATTTAGAAGTAACTGTGAGTTAAAATGCTTGTGGTCAAACAAAAACTTGACCTTAACGCCCTTTTAGTCAACGGCTCTCTGAGGAGCTCTGGTACGTCCCAGGAACAGAAGTAGACTACTCGTACCCCTTCGTATAAATGATGAGTTACGGGATTATAAGCGATATAAGTGACAGCATGATTTTACTTCTCCGGCAAAAGCTACAGGCATAGTTGCCTATTCTTCTCCCACGCTACCAAGTTTCTCAATAGAATATTACGCAGGTGTTTGGCAGGGTAGATTGTGGTCAGCTTGACCGTTCCAGGCTTTGAGGAACGCGAAATCCGCCGTAACGCCAGCTTGTTTATAAACAAAAAATGAAGTAACAGCCTCATGTTTGCTCAACAAGAATATAAAGAATCGAAACAGAGTCACTGTTTACCTTACGAAGGTTGTTGGCTTTAACCCTCCAGTTAGAATCGGAGTCATAATGCGCAATCTTCTCGATCCAAGTCTCGTTAAAGAAGTGCTCATCTCTATAACGAAAAAGCCATGCTGCTATTTAAAATTATGCATGAAAAAAGTTCCAACCGTCATCGTGAACTACTGAAAACAATCCCCCAAGTTCTACAAACACTTCGTGGAATTTTGGGCCATATTTTCAAGAAACCTCCCAACGATTTACTGCCCCATCGTGGCTGGGAGGTGTTTCTGAGTGTCGGACTGCGATTTACAGCGTGGCGATTCGTCCCCCCAGCAGGGTATCCCAAGCTGAGTCCGGCGGGAACCCTAGCTAAGAGTAAACCAATACCAGGATCCACCACAGTACTGGTATCAAAGTCGCATAGTGGCAAATCTCCCTCTGATCCACAAGGGCTGCGACTCCCTGTGGCGGTGAGGATCTGACGCAGACTTTGGCTAGGCTGACCTCGGGATTCCAGGAAACCACAATGGCTTAGGGAGCAAATTTCCGAAAATAGAGATTATGCTGGGGCCGGCACAACGAGTGAGGACGGGCCATTCAAGCATCAGGGACCAAGTATTTTCAAGAATAAAATTTATTACGAAGCACCACCCACATTCCATGTAACAC